TTAAAGTGATGACAGTATAAACAACTGAGACAGAATTCATGCATGTGTAGGCAATTGACCACTGTGGTGTGAGTGCCCCCTGGCGGACAATGATTGTAAGACACATCAATTATAAGATGTCACAATTTTCAAGATGTTAAAAATGTGAAACAGTCTATCTTACCTTGTTTATCAATGAAATATGGCAATTATATAAGCAAAGTTATGCTTTTGAAACTATCACTGGGAAAGAAGAAAGACCTCACTATACATGTTTCTGAGGAAATAAATATGAATATTATTGGTACCAAAAATTAAAATGTGGGTGAGTCTCTCAGAATCTCATGAAAAACAATCAAGAATTGAAAAGATCAGATGAAGAATAAAAAGTGAAGGCCAAAAAACCCAAGGTTTTGCCATCCCTAAGAGGTAGTCCAAAACACTATTTCCTCATCTGGATACACACACACACACACACACACACACACACACACACGGAATTAGGAATTTTTTGGAAACCTTTATTGTGATCATCAATAGAATTTTTAAAAATGTGTTTACAATATATATTGTTTTTAAAAGCCAAAGGAAACAGATGGCCATACAAAACAGACCATAAAACAACCAAAAGTAGACCTAGTCTACAGTTGTCACCATAAATGTGATTATTCACTTATTCGACAACATTTATTGAGTACCTCTTACATGATAGGTACTGTTCTAGTCACTAGGTCTATAGCAGTTCCTCTTCTTGTGGAGCTTACACCCTTGTTAGGAGAAACTGATAATTAACAAAAAACAGGCTGTGCGTAAGATAAATGCTACAGTTGTGGGGGGATGGGGAAAGAAGGCTAAGGTAAATAGGAAGTACCAGGTGTGTTGCTGTAGTGTAGTGAAGTGTGTGTTGAGGTCAGGGTGAACAGATCTGAAGGAAATGAGGGAGTGAGCCCTGCAGATATCCAAGGATAAGCAACATTTCTGCATTAAAGGCAGGGTCTCACTTTGGATTTTAAAATCCTGAAATATGATGCCAGGAGAGAAAAACTTAAAGCAAAAGTGGAGAGAAAGAATATAAATAAGGACTTGAACAAACATGCCAAATAGACTTGGAGAGAAAGCATAGGTGGTAATGTTAATAGTCACACAAAGCAAGATTTTTATTTAATAAACAAAATCATTCTTTGTGTGATAAAATATCAATAGTAAAAATACGTCACTATTGGGTCAATGCTCTAAAAAATACAATATATATAAATACACAAAATTCAACTGTAAGGAACACTAGAAGAAATCAATTGAAGTGCTAATGTAGAAGAAATTTTAAATTGACAGTACTAAATATTTAATACATAAAGATCAAGGTAAGAGTATAGTGGAACATTCCATGTAGAAGAATTAAGATGTAGTGTTGAAATATATGGCACATATACTATAGTATTCTGTACCTAAAATGTTTCCTAGGGATGACTCATTGACAATGAGACCATAAAGGTAAACTGAACCCAGTTATCCATTTGAGTCAAGCTAAAGAATTTCTTCATGTTATCAAAAGATTGATTATTAACCTAATTACATGTGTATTTTAGAAAGATAACATGGGGGATATATGGAAAAATGTGAGATTTGGGCCAAAGTGATATACTTGTAGGCTATTTTAAAAGTTTAGGACAGATGATGAGGCTCTGGATTAGAAAAGTGGCCTCAGGTATGGAGAGAACAGTAACTGATTATGACTGAATCAATGGGACTTGGTGAAGGATTGGATGTGAAATAGGGGGGAGCAGGTAAAGCTAAGAGTTACATGTAGGGCAACCGGAAGAGTAATGACACAGTGAGCATTATCCATAGAACACAGTATCTAGGGGACTTCTACTTCCAGTTATGGCATAACTTTGCTGCTGAGAATAACTAAAATAGTTAGTTAAATTATTTTTTAAATTGAAAACCTGGAAAGATGATAGAAACAACCAAGCCAAAATCTAAGGGAAAACAGGAACTTGGAGACATAAATAGGACACACAAATCCCAAATCCTTCTGCCCTGAAGGTATTTACAAATTCCTGCCAACTTAAGCTTTGAGCTTGGTGGATTAATGAAGAGATATGACCCTGAGTCCACCCGAGGTGGTGAGCATGATGGATGGCATGCCCACTATGAGGCAGAACCCCAGAGGATTCTTAGGATAAGGATGAACCGGAAGTAAAGGCATACACACTCTCACATATGTCCACCAGGAATACAGCAAAGTTGTCTTGTTAAGTGAGTAGGGAAAAAAGAAGAGAAAAAACCTGTCTGAGAGGTTGTGGCCCTGGGAAGACCGCAGTAAGATTTGTAGTCCTGATTTGCATTGTCTGGCTGGTCCAGTGAATCTCCGGCTGAGATTTGTTTCTGGGAGTACTTCAGGCAACCGGAAAGAGCAAATGCAGATCTTCACCAGAGGAAGACATCATCCTAGGCCTCAAAAATGCTCCCAATTTTTTTTCAAAGGTAATGACATGTATACAGTAAAAAGTAACCAATATAAAAGGAAACAAAGCTCCATGACTGAAGATAGTACAGTAAAGATACTACTACACAGGAGAAGCAGACCAAAAAAAAAAATCACCTGCTAGAATTACTAGAAAGAAGTTTTTTCTAAAAAGATTGTATTTACTGTGTCTCACAAAATAAAAGGCAACTTGACAATATGTGCAGGGAATTATTATAAAAAAACTATAAAAAGTGACCTATTCAAAATATGAAATATTCTCACTAATGTTGACTCAAAAAAAAAATAAAAAAATATGAAATGAATAAAAAAAACAAAAACAAAAAAAATCATTCCACTGCATTATGGCCCCTTAGTTTAACTACACATTCCCCATTGCAAGACCAGGCATCTTTGTCCATCTTGTTCACTGATGTACCTCGGTGGGATACAGCACATAATAGGATCTCAACAAATATTTGTTGAATTGAGCAAATGAATAAATGAATAAATGAAAAAAAAATATGAAATGGATCTTTTGGTAATGAAAAATATCATATCAAAACCAAATCATTAATCAAAAAGTTTAACAACTCTTAGAATGTTGATGCAAAAATCCTGAAGAAACTATGAGCCAACTAAATCTAGCAATATATAAAAAGAAAATAATGTTATATCGCGACCTTGTTGGATTTATACCAGGATTCCATGATGGTTTAGCATTAGAAAGTTAATCAGTACAGCAATATTAAAGATTACAGGAGAAAAAAAGAATCCCATGATCATCTCATAAGTGCAGGAAAAAAATATAATAAAACTCAATATTCATTCATGGTTTTTATAAAAGCACCTTAGTAAGCCAAGAATGGAGGATCTAGAGGGGAAAAAAAAGCTAAAGCAAGTATTCAATCAGATTTTATAGTAACACATTAAAAGCTTTTGTTTGTAATCAGGAACAAGACAAAGAAGCATGCTACTATCACTTATATTCATCATTGTGTTGGAGAGCCAAATTAGCCTAGAAAGGCAAGAACAATATTTAAAAAGTATAAGGTTGGAGAGAAAGAAACACAGCTGTCCCTGTGATAGAGAATGTAATCGTGGACATAGATAACCTGAGGCTTGTGTGGCTGGAGCCCCATAAGCAGCACAGACAGTAATAGGAGATAAGGTCAAGAAGGTACCAGAACCCAAGTCACAGTAGCCCCTGGAGCACATTGCAAAGATTTTGGCTTTTACTCGGAGATGTTGAAGCCACTGAGAGTTTTGATTAGGGGAGTAGGTAAAGTGACTCAACATTTTTAGTGTTGTGTTGGTTGCTCTTTTGAGAATAGACTCAAGGGGTGCTATAGGCAGAATCATGGAGACCAATTAGGAGCTGCAAGAAAGATGATGGTGGCTTGTCCAGGATGATAGCGGTGACAGTAGTGAGAAGTGGTTGGACTCTATACGTATTTTGAGGCTAACATCAATAGGTTTTACTGGTGGATTAGATATAGGGTATAAGAGAAAGAGAGGAATTAAGAATGGCACCAAGGTTTTTGGACTAAACAACAGGAATAATGCAGTTGCTGTTAATGAAGGCAAGGAAGGTTGAGGATGGGGGAGGTTTATGTGAGGATTAGGAGCTCAGTTTAGGATGAGTTCAGTTTGAGATGCTTAACCGACATTGATGTGAACCTGGTAGCAGGTAGTTAGATATGTAAGTCTGGGCCTCAGAGAAAAGAACAAGATGAGCAATTTAAATTTGGGAATCATCTAAATAAAGATGGATTTAAAATCCTAAACCTGGATGAGATCTCCAAAGATAGTGGGAGAAGAACTTTAAGAAGTTTAAGTTTAAGAAGAAATTTAAGAACTAAATCCTGGAGCACTCCACATTCAGGGGCCAGGGACCGGAGAATGAAGCAGAAAAGCCCAAGCTGAGTGGGATTGGATGGGAGTGTGGGGATGGGAAGAATGGGGTGCAGAAATCAGCCTCTCTCATCCTGAGCCACGAGCTTTCACTGAAGGCCCATTCAGGTGAGGGGACTCTTTCTCTAGATCAGTGTCTGTTTGGCTAAGTGAGTGCTGCTGTACTACCAGATTACAGACAGTACCTCTCAACGTGTGCCCTAACACATGAGAGAAACACAAGACACACAGTGTGGTTCAACATGTTAATCTTGGTATAACTAATGACCCAGTATCCTCCACTGATAATTCCCCTTCCCATCCTAGGGGCTGTTTTCTCACTGCCTTCCACCTATGCAGGAATCTGACTTGCTGGTATTAGAAAGAGAAATCACCACCAGAGAATGCTAACCTTTTTTCCTCTAGACCTCTTAATTAAGCATCCTCTCACTCTGTTCTGTTCTTCACCTACGTCAGCAAGCAGGTTCTATGCCTGGAGAAAACTTTCCAGGGGCTAGCATGTATTTTCTAATTCAGGAGTTTCACGCCCCTACTTTCACCCCTTAGTTTAAATGAAGAAATTTTTTTACCAGGTGTGATACTAAAAGTTTTCTAATTGTAATATGTCATTATCAAGAGACTTATGTTTATTTCCTAATAGGATTAGGAAGATATGGTGAAATTGGAACTGTTACTGATAGAGTTTTCACATTATACTATGATCACATGGGATTCATACATAAACTGACTCCGAATAACTTTGAAGCTGGTAGACCACCTGCAGCCTTTGGAAATTCTAGAAGTATTTTTGGTCAGGTCAGTGATATAATGCATTGAAACAGTTTGCTTTATTTCAAGAACAAATGCCTCTATTTTAAGAACAAATTCAATACACAGAATGGGAAAATGAGAAAGTATTTTCCTTAGGGTAAACCCTTATTAATGTGCTTTGCTCTATTTAACTAAAGAATAAACCTCCCATGTTCCAAGGAACATTTCCAAAATCTTCTTCCAAGTCCCACTCAGGGTTAAATAGCTTCAACCCCATGTAGGAGTTGAATATTCAGGCAAATATCTTCATGGCAGAACACCACCAGATATTCTAAGCTAGATCCATTACTCCAAATGCAAGCCTCGGTAGGGTTGATTCTCTACCACCCAGAGTTTGCCCTGAAGAACATGAGCTCTGGTTTACCTGTCTTCTTTCATAAGAAACAAGAACCCTAGTTTTTTTTTTTTTCTTTTTTCTAATGCCAACATAGAAAGGAGTTATCTTCTTCACAGATGACATTAGATACAGATTTTTATAATCACTTTAATATGTAATATGCTACTTGTGAAGGCATATATGCCTAAGAACTCATCACTGGGTACACAGTTATGAAAATGAATACTCATCAATCAATTTGTCAGCAAAGAATCGAACATTTTTTTACTGAGGTTCAACAAAACCTGCCCTTCGGCTTAACGGAAATAGAACAAAGAATGAATCTAGTTTTAAAAAGATCATGCTAATTACCACACCAAAACTATAGTTGAGAGGATGGTGTTTTAGCTTCCCCTGTCTGAGATATGTGCAGAGAGTGAGGGTGAGAACTTCCACGGGGGAGCAAGATGCCACCGCATGACTCCCTGTGTGTTTGCCTTAGTCTGGGGTGTGGGTGAATGATGTGAGCAGGAGTGTAACACTAACCACAAAATGAGTTAGCTCAATTTTTCACTAGCTTCCCAATTTATAGAAAATGTCTTAGTTCTCTTACGTGAAAGTTTAAATTATTAAAATAAAAAAACAATAGGGATTTTTATACTTGGGACAGGTTTGAGGAACTCACACTCAACAATATCACCTCTCTCTCTCCACAAACTATGCATGCATCCTCACTGAAGAAAAATAATCACTAGCTTTTACTGTGTCCCAGGCACTGTTGTGGAGCTTTCAATCTTTATAATAACTCTTTATCCCAATTTTGCCTATGAGGAAAAGTGAGGCACAGAGAGGCTAAATAATTTATCTAAAATCACACAACTGGTTAGCTATTGGAATTAGGCATCTATCCCGGTAAAACTGGCTCCAGGGCCTATGCTTTCAGCCACCCTACTGCCTTTCATTGGACTTGAGTACACTTTTCATGGGATACAGAATGTCATACAGAATTCTAAATAATTTTTAGCCATTTTAGTAATTTTCAAGAGTCCTTAAGCTATTTGTTCAGTCCCACATTTATTTTCCTTGCATCTATTTCCTACTCTTTTCCCTTCTCAGTGGGTTCCCAAAATTCAGAGAAAATGGGTCTTAGAGGCATTATTTGATGGCTGTGCCCCCCAAAATTCTGTACTACCCACTGCCCTCTCTTTGTCTCATGACAAGAAGGTCAACTCCAACATCCCCTTTGGGGCTGGTCCTCACCTCTCTTCTCACCCCTAAAAGTCTCCAAGCAGGACCAGATCAGGACTGGAGAAAGGTATGTTGAAAAGAAAGATCTACGTGTCAGAAATATAACTGAAATTCCTATATTGACAGCAAGAGAAAGTCTGTGAGTTAGAGGAAATAAGAAAGGCATATGCTACCAGTTGGGAGACTCAGACAGTAGCTGTGCAGAGTCTCTTGCATGAAACAGGGAGCAGCAGCTTTCAAGTGAGAAGAGGTATTCATAATCCTTTTCCTAAATAAAAACTCCAAATAAGAACCCAGTTCTAAAATCTGCACCCACATACACAATGGAAGTCAAGTTTCTGTGTGCCCTTCCACTCCAGTCACTGACTGTGTGCCCTTCCACTCCAGTCACTGACTAGTCATCAGAATTTCTTTTTATCCTCAACAGAGAAATACATTTTCCCTTGCATACACATGGATATTCCAACAGAACATGTTAAAATATTACTCCAAATGGTAAGTACAACAGTATTGTTTTGATGTGAACTGAAAATAAATCTGGGAGGAAGAAGATGGCTGACTAGAAACATCAGTTGCCAGATCATGTCAGAAGAAAGGAAAAGTTTTACATAAAAAAAATATATAGATCAGGTGTGATTCTGAGGGAAAAGTGCCAGAAACTCCAAGAGATTCCATGGGAAGGAGTTGCGGAGCAGAACAAGGAGCAAGATACCAGCAGAGATCAACCCTTGAGAAACTTTGGAGCCCTGTGGAAAGGGTAGATGGTGGGTTTGTTTCTCCTTCCTTCACACCTCTGGAAGTCAGCAGGCCCCTGAGCTGCTGGAGAGCTTTTCTATCCTCACGAGCCCAAAAGCTGTTGATGCCAGTGGACTGGGAGCTTCTTGAAAACAAAGCATCAAGCTGTCAGCTCCCTCAGCATCACTTCTTGTCACCATAGACCTGAGCTGACACAGTGGGCACCATACTGCTTCTCCACCCACTGTGTGTCTTTGTTCTCCCCAGGAAGCTTCAGCCCTTCAGTCTTCACGTCACTTGTTCCCACACAAATACTTCCCAACTCTGGCCCAGACTGTGGTGACCACAGGGGCTGGTGAGTCCCAGGGGATCTGTGTGATCCCAGGGCTTGGACATTCTGGCTGGCCTGCCTTCCAGGGAGAGAGACAAAAGTGACCAGAGTTCTAGCTCTCCTCCATTCAGAGTCTTCTTCTCCCCTACCCTTCCCCCACCCACTACTGCTGAGTGGCACAGGCACCCCAAGGGACAATTGAGCCCAGACTCTTAGAAGTAGCTGCTTCCCCTCTGTTTATATACCTACCATAGAAAGGCTTCCATAGAAAGTGGGGCTCACACATTTCCTCTTAAAGACCTGCAGCAGACCAAGGGATGCTCAGACTATGTGCTCCCTGACTGCTGGTGCTGCTCACCTGGCTGCTCCAGCAGAGCAAGGCATACTCTGAAGTGGAGGGACATTCAAACTGCTCAACCATTCCATGGGCAACTCAGGACCAGCACACTTCTCCCTGGAACAGTTAGGGATTGAATTTCAGGGACCAGGAGACAGGCCCACAGGCCAGGTCCCATACCCTCAGGACTCAATTGTGTTGCTCAGCGACACAGAAGAGGGATTTGTGAACTACTCCCAAGAGATGAGGGAGCCCACGTGGGCAGAACTAAAGAGTGTAGTGTGGGTCTGAGGTGCAGCACACTCACAGAACACCCTTCCCTCCACAGGAAAACCATGCATTCAGTCCAGGGGCAGAATCCTGGACAGGGAAGCTCCCAGCCCATAGTGCCATTGCTGGTGAGCTCAGTTAGATTGAGCTCCTGCCTGCAGCCAGATACTGGAAGGAGACCTTGGGGCAGAAGAGGAAGGAGAAGAACAAAACTCACTCCCAATAGCCAGACTGTGAATCTCAGATGACCCTTTCCCCATGAGCAGACTTTCTGGCTTGGTGGGGATGCTTCAGCTCCTCCCTGGTGGCATTCCACAGTGGCCTGGGAGCAGACCCTCCATCCCTGCTGAGATAGCTCTTGTGCCTGCCTCTGTGGAACCTGAAGGCAGGCTCACCTGACTCAGCCCCACACAGCCTCACTCCTCCACACATCTCTGCTGTGACAGAGAATAAGGAGTCCCCTGGGAATTCTAGGGCCCTCCCACCACCTGGGGCATCTGAATGCTTCTCCTGACGGCCTAGAGCTGGTCACAGGTCCCAAACAATAACCCTGCAGTTTGCTCTTTCTGACACATGCCATCTACTGGCAGGAGGGACAACTTGTACAGTCAATTACAGCATTTACTGACTCAATCATACAGGGCATGGCTGATTCTTACACACAAGACACTGTCTTAGAGATTAAACTGGGTGTCCCAATATAATTCACACTATTAAGAGGACCACAGGGCTGGGGAAATAGAAAGGATTTCAAATACCTCCATATTCCCTCGTCAGCAAGAGACAGTGAATCTGCCTGCACACTGTACACCACCACTACAGCCCACAAATAACTAGCAACTGAGGAAAAACACCACACTAATGATATCTGTCATCAAAGCATCCATCCAGAAGCTAGATCCCTATCAAAGCCACCGAGAAACAAAGCCAAAGGTTCTTACCGAACATATGCTGTAGACAAACTCTACAGAGTGAGGAAGGAGGAAAAAAGCCCCATCTAATCAAAAGAAAATCCCAAAAGAAGAAGTGACAGCTACTCCAGATGAGAAGGAATCAGCACAAGAATTCCAGAAGTATGAAAAATGAGAGTGAAAGGACACCCCTAAAGGAGCATACCAGCTCTCTAGCAATGGATCCCAACCAAAATGAAAATATTAAAATGACAGATAAATAATTCTAAATATGGATCATAAGAAAGCTCAATGAAATCCAAGAGAAAATGGAAAACCAACTCAAAGAAACCAAAGAAACAATTCAGAAAATAAATGAAAAATTTACTAAGGAGATAGACATGTTTTAAAAATAGAACTTCTGGAAATGAAAAATTCATTTAAGGTAATACAAAACACAGTGGAAAACTTTAAGAATAGACTAGACCAGGCAGAAGAAAGAATTTCAGAGCTTGAAAACAACTCTTTTGAATTAACCCAGTCAGTCAAAAATAAAGAGCAAAGAACCAAGAGGAATAAACAAAGTGTATGAGAGATATGGGATTATGTAAAATAGCCAAATATAAGAATCATAGACATCTCTGAGGGTGAAAAAGAAAAAGCACAAGGTCTGGAAAACCTATGTGAGGGAATAATTGAGGAAAACTTCCCTGGTATTGCTAGAGATTTAGACGTCCAGATACAAGAAGCTCAACCAATACCTGTGAGATTCATTGCAAAGAAGGAATCACCAAGACATATAGTCACAGACTGGGCAAAGTCAACATGAAAGAGGAAATCCTACCAGCTATGAGGTGA